TGTTGAGTCTTCCTATTCATGAGCAAGGTATGTTATTCTACTTACGCAGGCCTCTTGGTTTCTTGGCAGTAGCGTCTTGTAGTTTTCGTTGTATAGATCTTTTACGTTTCTGGTTAGATTATTCCTAAGTATTTTATCTTCTTAGGGGCTATTGTTAATGGTATTAATCTGGTGATTTCCTCTTGGAAGCTGTCTTTGTTGGTGTAGAGGAATCCAGCTGATTTTAATATGTTTATCGTGTATCCCGATACTTTGCTAAAATCTTCTATTAGTTACAGTAGTTTTCTTGTGGATTCTTAAGGGTTTTCTGTGTGTAAAATCATATCATCTGCAAATAGAGATACTTTTACTTCTTCCTTACCAATTTGGATGCCCTTTATTTCTTTTTCTAGCCTAATTGCTCTGGCTAGGACCTCCAGCACAATGTTGAATAAGAGTAGTGATAAAGGGCATCCTTGTCTGGTTCCCTTTCTCAGTGGGAATGCTTTCAAACTCTTTCTGTTTAGGATGATGTTGGCTGTTGGCTTTGTAAAAATGCCCTTAATAGTGTTGAGGAATTTCCCTTCTATTCCTATTTTGTTGAGAGTTTTTATCATGAATGGGTGTTGGACTTTGTCAGATGCCTTTTCTGCATTGATTGATAAGACCATGTGGTTCTTGTCTTTTGTTTTATTAATGTGATGGATTACATTGATTGTTTTTCTAAGTTGAACCATCCCTGCATACCAGGTATAAATCCCACTTGGTCATGGTGAATTATTTTTTTGATATGTTGCTGACTTCTATTGACTAGAATTTTATTGAGGATTTTTGCGTCTTTAATGTTCATGAGGGATACTGGTCAGTAATATTCTTTTTTTTGTGGTGTCTTTATCTGGTTTTGGTATCAGGGTTATGCTGGCTTCATAGAATGAGTTTGGGAGTATTCCATCCATTTCTGTGCTCTGAAATACTGTTAGTAGTAGTAGTGTTAACTCTTCTCTGAAAGTTTGGTAGAATTCTCCGTTGAAACTGTCAGGGCCAGGGCTTTTTCTGTTGGAAGTTTTTAAATTATCTTTTCAATCTCTTCTTTTGTTATAGGTTTATTTACTTGTTCTACCTCTGTTTGTGTTAGTTTAGGTAGGTAGTGAGTTTCTAGAAATTTCCTCTAGGTTTTCAAATTTGTTTGAGTACAATTTTTCATAGTATTCTGTTATGATTCTTTTAATTTCAGTTGAGTCTGTTGTGATATCGCCCATCTCATTTCTTATTTGGGTTATTTGCTTCCTCTCCTGTTTTTCTTTTGTCCATTTCGCCAGTTGTTTATTGATTATGTTGATCTTTTCAAACAACCAGCTTTTGGTCTTGTTAACTCTTAGATTTTCTGTTCTCTATTTCATTTAATTGAGCTCTTATTCTTATTATTTCCTTTCTTCTGATGCCCGAGGACTTCTTTTGCTGCTCTCTTTCAACTTGTTCCAGTTGTAGGGTTAATGTTTTGATTTTGGCCCTTTCTTTGCTTTGGATATGTGCATTTGTTGCTGTAAACTGACCTCTGAGCACTGCCTTTGCTGTGTCCTAAAGGTTCAGGTAGGATGTGTTTTCATACTCATTTGATTCTGTGAATTTCTTTATTCCGTCCTTAATTTCTTCTATAACCAAGTAGTTTTTGAGCAAGGTGTTGTTCAGTTTCCATATATTTGTTTTTTTTACCTTGCGTTTTCTGTTATTGATTTCTACTTTTATGGCTTTATGGTCAGAAAAGATGCTTTGTAATATTTTGATGCTTTGGATTCTGTTAAGGCTTGCTTTGTGGCTTAATATGTGGTCTCATCTGGAGAATGTTCCATGTGCATTGGAAGAGAAAGTATGCTTGGCTGCTGTTGGGTGGAGTGTTCGGTTTATGTCCATGAGATCAAGTTGGTTGATTGTGGCATTTAGATCTTCCATGTCTTTGTTGAGCTTCTTTCTGGATGTTCTGTCCTTCACTGAAAATGGTGTGTTGAAGTCTCCTACTATTATTATGGAGCTGTCTATCTCTCTTTTCAATGCTGGTAGAGTTTGTTTTATGTATTTTGGAGCCCTGTTGTTGAGTGCGTAAATATTTATTATGGTTATGTTCTTTGATTATTTATTGACCATTTAATCATTCTATAGTGTCCTTCCTTATCCTTTGTGGTGGATTTTACTTTAAAGTCTATTTTGTCGGAGGTTAATATTGCCACTCCTGCTCTGTTTTGAGGGTTGTTTGCTTGATACATTTTTTTCCATCCTTTGAGTTTTAGTTTGTTTGTGTCTTTAAGGCTAAGATGTGTCTTTTTGTAGACAGCATGTAGATGGATCGTGTTTTTTTATCCAGTCTGCCACTCTCTGTCTCTTTATTGGTGCATTTAGTCTATTTACATTCAGCATAATTATTGATAGGTATGAGTTTAGTGCTGTCATTATGATGTCTTTTTTGGTGTGTTGTTAATAGTTTATTTTTTCCACTTAATTTTCTGTACTGAGCTTTTTTAATGTATTTTCGTTGTTGATTTTGTATTTGCTGGGTCTCTTTTTCTTGTTTTTTTTTTTTTATTGTAGTTTAAGTGAAAGTTTACGATTCAAGTTAGTCTCTCATATGAAAATTTATACATACATCGTTAAGTGACCCTAATTACTCTCCCTATACTGTGACAGCACACTCCTCCTTTCCACCCCTGATTTCCCATGTCCGTTCAACCAGCTGCTGACCCTCTCTGCCTTCTTATCTCACCTCCAGACAGAAGCTGCCTATTTAATCTCATATATCTACCTGAGCTAAGAAGCACACTCTTCATGAGTATCATTTTATGTCCCATAGTCCAGTCTAATCTTTGTCTGAAGAGTTGCCCTCGGGAGTGGTTTTAGTTTTGGGTTGACAGAGAGTCCAGGGGCAGTACTTTCGGGGATTCCTCCAGTCTTAGTCAGACCATTAAGTCTGATCTTTTTACTAGAATTTGAGTTCTGCACTCCACCTTTCTCCTGCTCCATTAGAGAGTCTCTGTTGTGTTCCCTGTCAGGGCGGTCATTGGTGGTAGCTGGACACCATCTAGTTCTGGTCTCTGGATGATGGAGTCTCTGGTTTATGTAGCCCTTTCTGTCTTTTGGGCTAATACTTTCCTAGCATCTTTGGTGTTCTTCATTCTCCTTTACTCCAGGTGGGTTGAGACCAATTGATGCATTTTAGATGGCGGCTCACTAGCTTTTAAGACCCCAGATGCTACTCACCAAAGTAGGATGCAGAACATTTTCTTAATAAGCTTTGTTATTAAGAATTCACCTGGATGTCCCCTGAAAGCATGGTCCCCAGACCTCCGCCCCTGCTACTCTGTCCCTCAAAATGTTTGGTTGTATACAGGAAACTTCTTAGTTTTGGTTTAGTCCAGCTGTGCTGACTTCCCCTGTAGTGTGTTCTGTCCTTTTCGTCACCTAAGATAATTCTTGTTTACTATCTAGTTAGTGAATAACCCTCACCCTCCCTCTCCACCCTCTTAACCATCAAAGAATGTTTTCTTCTGTGTTTAAACTTTTTCTTCAGTTCTTATGTTAGTGGTCTTATACAATATGTGTCCTTCTATGACTGATCAGATTCACTCATCATAATGTCCTCCAGATTCTTCCATGTTATAGGATGTTTCACAGATTCATTGTTGTTCTTTATCATTGTGTAGTATTCCATTGTGTGAATATACCATAATTTTTTTATCCATTCGTCCATTGATGGGCCATCTTTTTGCTATCATGAACAGTGCTGCAGCAAACATGGGTATGCATGTATCTATTCGTGTGGCGGCTCTTATTTCTTTAGGATATATTCCTTGTTTTGTATTTTGATGTGTAAGATTGTTAGTTTCCTTTGTTGTTACCTTAATATATACCCCTGTTTTTCTAAGTTTAAACCAGTCGGTTATTTCTTTATATCGCCTTGACTTCCTCTCCATAAGAAAGATCTAAGACTACAGTTTTTAGTTTCTCTTTTTGTTCTAATGTTGTCACAATTAGAAATTCTTAGGAAGAAATATTTTTCAGAAACTTAACAAGTCTTTCAGTTTCTTTATCACTTGTTAAATTGAACAAAATTAAATGTAATATTTTTATGAAAAATATCTTGTATGCTAGACAGCTTGTAAAATTATCAGTGTATTTGTATGTATGTGTCCAGGGGCATCTGGACAGAGCAACAACAAAAGCTAAAATGGCTTTTGAGTTTCTGTCAGCCAGGCACTGTTGACACATTTACTTATTTAATCCTCCCAACAGCTTTATGATGTAGAGGATGTTATTCCCATTTTACAGGTAGAGAACAGAGGTTAAGTTATTGCCCATGGTCACATAGCAGAGTAGGTGGTGGAGCCATGACTTGACTCTACAGCACCTGTTCTGAGCTGCTACTTTCGGCGGCTCCAGTGCCTCCTAGTGCTAATGTGGTTATATCTGGGTGCTAGGATTTTTCTTTCTTTTACTTCATTTTAATAAAAGTATATTTTTATAAAACCAGTGACGTGGTTATTTTTTAAAAAGGAAACTGGACAAAAACATTCTGAAGGATTTGATAGCTCTTTAGCATGCCTCTGAGTTGAATAGGAGTGGGATTTGATGGCCTTCTGCCACCTCCCTGTCTTCCTCTCCATGGTGCTGTTGCTCAGTGTGGTTGGTCGTACCAGTGACTGAATGTCCTGGGTGCCAGCAGCTGCTGAGTTAGAGGGTTAAGGAAGAGCCTCTGCCCTCCAGAAATGGGCAGCTTGGGTCTGATGACTGCTTGTCTGAATGATAGGTATCATACATTTTTTAAATTGTCTAATCAAAATCCTGGATGTTTTAAAATTGTTTTGTTTTTACCTCTTACCTTGTGGTTATTCCTGTTGAGCAGTTTTAAGACCAGTTTTGCTGGTCTGTGCAGAATCACGCAGTGTAGATTGTCTTTCTGTAGTGTGACCGCAATAAGGGCAGGGCCCTGACCAGTAGATAGTATATGTGTTGGTTTGTCTGTTTCATTTTAGGATCCTCAGGGCCTGCTCAAAGAAAAATAAAAGGTGAGAAAATCAGTCCTCACTTCCATGCAAGCCAGGGCAGTTGGCTGTGTGGAGATGTTGTGGTGCCAAGTGGAGGCCTGACGGGACCAGAGCCAGCAGCCGGGGTGCGGTGCGTTCAGGTCCAGCTACTGCAGGTAAGAGCCAGGGACCTGGGGGAGGCAGTCTGCAGACACTGGAGGCAGGCCAGGGTAGGCAGGAGTGGTGCAGACTAGTCCCCTGCGGCCCACTCCCCTCAGCCCTGGTACCGTCAGCTTCCCACAAGGCCTGCCTCCTGATGCCCCTTATCTCAGCTGACTGCCTTGTCACCACCCACCCCCCACCCCCCACGTCTGAACAGTCCCCAAGTCCTGTTTTACATCCTAAACCTCTTCATAGCCCTACCTCTCCCTGTTTCCTGCCCTGTGACACTGCATTTGTCCAGACTTCTGCCTTTATTTGGTCTACACCATCGTCTCTGTGTCTGGCTTTCCCCCAGTGCAGTGTACCTTCCACTCCTCTGAGTTACTTTCCTAAAATGTGGATGGGCTCATGGCCCTCTCCTGCATCTGTTTGGCTTCTGGATGAAGTGCTGGTCATAGCTGTTCCTGGATTGGCCACAGAAAGCCCTAGCGCTCTTGTCTGGCCATACAGACTCCTGGCAGCACACTGCCCCGGCCCAGCCCCAGAACCCTGGCTCACTGACTCCCTGCCAAGCCTTTATTCACTTACTCAGGCGCATTGGTCACCCCTTCCCCTGTGCCCTGGGCACTGCTTCCCCCCCACCGGAGTGGTTGCCTTTGTTGTGCTCTATTGAAGGTGCTTTCTTCCCCCACCAAACAGAGCCCCTCAGGGACAGGGCCACTGTGTCTCAAACCCTGCTGTGTCCGGCCAGCAGGTGCCTGCCTTGCAACCATTTCTTCAATGGCCCCACGTGCACCTTAATTTTCAGTTTCATTTTTAGTGGCCGGAATGGGGAAGTAAAAGAATTTGGAGGGATTTTGGGAGAGAAGTGATTTTAAGCTGAGTATGAACATGGCTGTGACTGGCCCAGTGATGTGCTACCTCTTTATCTAGCGTGTCCCGTACTCCTGGCTACCTGGGCCCTGGATTACTGTTTAGCTGGGAAGGCAGAATCATAGCTAGCTGAGCATGTCTGCATGCTGAGCTGGCTGATTGTGATACTTGGAGGGAAAGTTAGAGGGGAGATCAGTGGGCCTACAGTTTGGGAGCATTCATGAAGGGAATGGGCTGACTGGCTGTGAAGAGGCAGGATGCAGACAGGTCAGGGGGACCAGCAAGGCCAGAGGCTTGGCAGTGGGGTGAGGGAGGGTCAGTTGGTGAGGGGGCGTGGGGAGGCCTTAGAAGAGCAACACAACAAGGTGCTCTTGCTCACGTATAAAATGAGAGGCCCTTGTGAGTATTTGGTGGAGGCAGGGGACTGAGGAAGATTTGCCTGCAGAGGGGAACAGGAAAACCTGTCCTTTCTCCAGGCTTGGGACCAGCAGTAGCTCAAAGCTTATGAAGAGATACAGGACCTCCCAAGGTAGGGGCAGTGAATAGGGAGGGAAAGGGGCCAGTCAGTGACCTCTGAGCATGGAGCTTCTGAGCATGGCCACAGTTTGCAAATCAGAAGTGGTCAGGAAGGATCAGAGGTTTTGAAACAGACGCTGGAAGAAAGCTGGTGCCATGGGTAGAAAAGGAGCTGGTTGGGAAGGGAATATTTTTTAAGAGGTATCCAATTAAAGATGAAAACTTTGATGTCAGAGAAACCTGGGTTTGAGTCCTTTATCTGCCCCTAACCAGCTAGTGCAATCTTGGGCATGTTACTTAACTACCCTGGGCCCCTGTTTTATCACTACAAGATGGGAATGATAGTGTTCAGTGCTTGACGCATGGAAGGTTCTTGAGGCTGTGGAAGGAGTGAGAGATATGAGCCTAAGATGATGTTGCAGTAATGGGTTGTGAACTGGCTGGACTTGCAGATTACAGCTAGCCAGGTGCCAGATAGTACCCATTTTCTTAATTAGATGCCTAAGCACCTGGTAGGTAGCCTGGCCCCCACTGGGCACCCTCAATCTGCTCTGGTCCCTCCCAGCTCTCCTGTGAGGTGGCTGGCACAGAGGGGGCTCCTGGAGAGCACCTGTGGGCAGAGGCTTGGCACTTGGGGAGGGTTGGGCAGCCCGAGAGGGATGCAGAAGCAGCCCTAGCAAGAAATGGGGATCAGGACTGACGGGAGGAGTTTGGAGTGTGAGGTGACATGGGTGCACTGGAGAGTTCCCAGAGAGGAGTCTAGGGAGGATGGATGAGCAGGATGGTGGAAAGTTCAGTGCCCGGCTCAGTCCTTGGGCCTGCTTCTTCACCTGGACTGTCTGGGTGGGGCTAGTTCTGTTTGGTGCCACAGGAAAGAGGATTCTCTAGCAAAGATGGAAATGTTGCCATTCTCTATGTAATAAGCATGTGAAAGATGTTTTCATTGTTGCTTCCCTAGGACGATCCCTCAGGTGAAGGAGTCTTGCCACTTGCACTCAGCTTGCAGCCTCCCCTGCTCCGTCCCGTCCTCACCGTGGACTTGCCTGTCTACGTCCTCCAGGTCTGAATGTCTTATAGCTCCTTATTTTATTCTTAGAACTCTTAGAGAGTTTCCCAGCTTCCTGGGGGCCCTCTGCACCAGCAGGGTAGTCACTGAGCCAGGCTCGCTGCAGACTCGGCTGGTTTCCATGGACATGGTGCTGTTTTTGGAAAAGGTGGGTAGATGACAAGGTGGAGGGTATGGATAGCTCAGATTGGCTCGTCCTGGAGCTCACTCACAAACAAGGTAAGATTTCATATGCTCTGGGAGTATTTTATACTGAAAACTTCTAGTTTCTTTCTTCTATGCGAGGTAGGCTGGCCAGTTTTTCATATCTGGAGAAAAGACCCAGGAGAGTTAGTGTAAGTAGTTGCTTAAGTTGCTGAGAACAGGTGGCATTGGAGAGTTCAGATTTGAATATAAAAGAATGGAAGCATAAGCTTATGTAATTTCTATCAGTGTACGGCTTACGTATTTTTTTAAATCCATGCAAACAGTCGGTTTAGTTTGTTGCAAATTGGGATGTTCATCGTTTTCCATAACATCAGAAATAAATACCGACTAAAGCGTTGGTGAGAAACAGGTTGGCATTCAGACTGCCAAGGGCATGTAAATCGAGCGTGGTTTATGTATCCATTGTATATCCCAAACCCCAGTACTGTCTCTTCCATTACGTTCAGCAGTGCCACTCATGAGACTTTAGTCCTAAGGAAATAAGGCGGTGTGCAAGTAATTGGCCAAACAGTGTTCATTGCGTCATTGAATCTAATAATGAAAAAGTGGAAAATTGTCTCCAACAAGACGAGATGGATTTGATGGGTTATGGTACAGCTATGTGGCTGTGATAACTGCTTAGCCACTGAAAGTAATGTAGATGAATAAATACTTAATAACTTGGGAAGATGCTGGCATGAACGAAGTTGAAGGAGAAGGTTACAAAACAAAATAACCTCATTCAGATCATTCAGATGATCTCATTTTTGTAAAAAGATACATGGGTGCAGATGCTCAAGTACGTGTGGATATTCACTAGTCTATGTGTGAAAAATACCTGCAGTGACTACAACACAGTATCGAGTCCATTTTCCCTTCATTTTGTTTATGTTTTTAATTGTTTTTCAAAGAATATGCTTGTAAAGTATAGGAAAACATGTTCTTTTTAATTAAGAAAAGTCAGACGTGCCTGATGGGTTGGCCTCGTTGGTTTTTGTTGTTCATTCGACATTGAGACCACAAAGGCATTCGGTTGAGAGCGGAGCTGTCACCTCCTCTGAGATGTGTGTGTAAATTCTCCGGGTCCCAGTCAAGCTGACGGCCCGTCCCTGGCCTGGCCCCACACCCTTTGTCCCTCACCCTCTCTGCTTGGCTCACAGGAGGTGTTCCCAGCCCCAGAGGATGCCGCTGGTCCTGAGGCTGTACAGTTCTCCAGAAGCACCATCAACCTCCAGGACTTGCAGTGAGAATGCTGGCTGCGAGAGCCCCCGAAGACTCAATTAGATGGTTCTGTTGGCGTGGGTAGGACTCCCACTCAGCTTCTGCTCAAAAGTCTAGCCTGATTCTTCAGAAAACTTTTTGGTGCATTTACGGAAAGTATTTTTCTTATGTTTTATCAGGAATCAGTCAGGGGCTCTGCTGTTTGAATGTGCCCTGTACAAGTGCAGTGCTTTGGGATACGGGGCTCACCTCTGGAGAGGCCCAAGTTGGGTCCTTACCAGCCACCCACGTGCAACGTCCTTTCTTTCCCGCTTGGCCTGAGCCATGCAGCACTTGTTGCATTGGAAAGAAAAGGGAAAAGACGTCAGTAGGAATAGGGTAGAATTCAGGTTTCCCAGCCAAATACAGCTTTCTCTGTAGTAAACTAGATGGGGTCTGTTAGTTCAGTGTTTAGTATTTTGCCTGAGACATAGCTAGAAAGACCATTTTCCCTGAGAGCTCGTATAACAGGCCATATCCCAGTCATGGGGACAGTGTTTGTGGTCAGGCTGATTCTGCTGTGTTGTAGGGTGGAAGTGGCCACGTCAACAGGGAGGCTAAGTTCAAGTCCATGTTCTTGCTGTGAAATCAGACCAGGCAGGGCCAGGCAGGTGCCGGACCAGCAGGCGGCCCATTTGAGAGGAAGTGGTAGTGAGTGCAGTGGGCTGTCATTGGACCTGAGCGAGCCCTCTTCATGGGCCCCAGGTGTCGTTCATAGTTTGAGTGCGGTAGAGTTAACACTTTTAAAATAATCTTTCTAAATTCTGTTGTTGGGTATTAATGTTTAATGGTAATTTGACAACGGTTTATACAGTGATGTTCTGAATACTGTATGTATAGGACTGTAATAATGGTATGTGTATGTTTTTTATTGTTGAGGTTGAAGATGTGCATATAATATGTCAAGGTATATTTTTACGGAGTAAGGTCTGTCTTACAAAAAGACAAGTTGATAATCTTGCACATATTTATTTGTTAAATACAGTTGATGGAATGGACACAGGGTCATTCAGAAATGCTTTTTTGCCTTGTGCCTTTTGGAGTGTATGGTTATTCAACCAATGCTGTTTTGATTCTCAGACTGGAATCATCTAAACTCTGCCCATTCTGTGTTTGTTTCTTGAATTTGGGGCTTTGGCTTTTTGGAATGACTCCAGCATTCTCTGTGATTCCTCTCTGTCTGTCCTGCCGGAGGTGCATCTATCTGCCCAGATTGCCTCTGCCTGCAAGAATTAAAACCACATTTGTAAATGGTTCTTTTCCACAGAAGTCTGTGCTGCGTCACAGACAAGTCCAGGGCTTGAATGTGCCCACCTGGCCCTCACCTCAGACCTTCTAAGACTGACAGATAGTGCCCCCCTCTCTCTGGGGAGGCAGGCACCCCCTGCCGGCGTGGTTGTGGTCCCTTTGTGGCCTGTGGGCCTCTTACACCTCCCTTCCTGAAGGGAGGAGGGTCTGGGCCATAGGAGTGCTTCGTCTCGGAGGCATGGTCTGGGTCTCTCTCCTGCCCAGGCGTTGGGGAACACACCACAAATGGTTGGGGTGGGCTGTCACCGTCTTGTGGGCACTGAGGTTCACCCCTGGCAATGGACCTAACTCCCGGTGCAAATGAATAAAAGTTTTTGTATAGTCACACGCCAAAGGCTTTGCTTGGTTTAATTCGAGGAATTTGGGTATAGAGTGTTGAAACCGTTTTGTTTTCTTCTTCAGTTAGTAGTAATGACCTGTTTATCTGCCCAGTTTGCTGCTTACTTTTCTTGTCTTTGCATCGGGGAAATCCCGTACTACATCTCATCATGCAGTTGGAGACTTTGTCTCTTAAAGCAGCCGTTTTAGAGGAGAACCAAGATGGTGCTCCTTCCCTCTAGCACAGGCTTAAGGCCAAATAATGAAAGAGGGTTTCTGAGATTGATTAACAGCGTCAGCTTCCTTACACAGGCCTCAAGACACCAAAGAGACATGGAGTTTATTTCAGTGGGAGAAAGGGAATGTACAGAAGAGAACTGCCAGAATGCACAGGGCCTGGCATGAGCCCTGTCCAGGCTCTGCTCCCACTGCTGGCTTCCTTCATGAGCTGTCAGCCACACTCCCCAAACGGCTCTGAGAAGGTTAGGTGAAGAAGAAGAGCTGCTCTTCTTTGTCCTTATCCATAAGCGCGTGGCTGGGCGCCATCTTTGTTTTGAGAATTGGGGGCTGGGAGCGGCACACCAATTTTCTGCCTTTCTGCCAAGAGGAAATGAACATCATCAGCATCTGCTTTACGTCATCACTGCCCCAAAGGCCCAGCTTAGAGTGATGATTCTCAGACACCCTCAACCCCTAAAAGGGAAGGAGGCCAGAGAACCTCAGGGCAGGGGCTTGGCCTGCCTGGGGGACTTCTAAGCGGCCCCAGTCAGCTCTCCTGGGCAGCCCAGCAGGGCAAGGGCTGGATTGATTCTGACATAGCTCAGGTGTGTAAAAAGTCTACGTTGGCATTTACTAAAATCAGTTCCATGGAACAGTAACTCCTGGAGGCTGAAGAGGGGCAGTTGCCTGGCTGCATAACTTGGGAAATGCTGGGCTAGACAGCCCATTTCCTTGGCTGTGGGAATCATGGAGACCCTGCAGCATTTGCAGAGCTCAGTGGGGAATGCTGGTCTGAGCAAGACGATGCCTGTCTGCCTTACTGGTCAGTTGGGAGTAGGCTTCCAAGCTCCTGGCCTTTTTTGGGGACATACTCCTTCTGTTGCCAGGCTTCCTTTGGCCAAAACTCTCCTTGGCCCAAAGGCATGTGGCTCTTCCAGCCCATTCGTGTTGGAGGGGAGGCGAGGTGACAGCATGAGGGGCTCTGAGTCACAGGCTGTGCTCTGGGCCTGAGGGGATTGTGGGGGCGTGAAAGCAGGGACTGACTTGTCCCTACCAGCTCCTTGGGTAGAGTATGTGTTGCTGGACAGGGATGTGAGGGCTCTGCCCGGCGGTCAGTCACAGACCAAGAGTGTGCGGAGGAGGGGAGGGTGCCTGTGGGCCTTTTGCAGGGAGGGCTAGTAGCCCCACTCCTGATGCAGAAGAGCTCTCCAAGAGACGGTATTCCTGGGAGGAAGCCAGTTCCAAGAGGAGGGTAGATCCCAGGGCCTGGGTGTGGGAAGCCTGCTTCCACCTGCCCAGCAAAGCCTCAGTGATGCCAAAGGGGGGTGGGGTCGGGTAGAGGGCTGCAGGGTCCCTGAGACCCTTGCAGCACCGTATGCCTAGTTTTGGGGCCTTGCCCCCCAGGGTGGCCCACCTACTTTCTTCTTGATCTCAGCCTGGGCCCGGGCCTGGGCTCGCTGCAGACGCTCCTCCTGGAGCTGCTTCTGTATCATGACCTTCTCTTCCCGCAGCCTGGGTGGCAAGAGATAGCATGAAGAACTGGGGAGGCCCTGCCAACCTGCCCACCTCAGCCACACAGTCGTGAAAATCAGGCCATGCCCAGCCTTCCCTGCCCTGGCACGGCCTTGCCACCTCCCCACAGCCAAGGATGGTACTTTTCAGGCAAAGATGCCTGGGCTAGAGGGATGGACACAATCCTGCCCAGGGTCCTCGTCTCTAGGGCCCATCAGACCATCCCCACAGGGGGCACAGACTCCCATCTCCCCGACCCTGTCATTGCAGGGCCATCACCATCACCCCTGTGGGCCGCAGCCCCCGCAGGATGGGTCAGTGCGGTCTTTGTCCTATCCTTTGGGTCAGCTAGTATTTGCTGATCCCTGCTCCGAGCGGGGTGCCAGGCCAGGGAGAATAAGTTCCTGTGCTTGTGGGCCAGACAGGTGGCCATTGGCAGATGGTGGGGTCTCAGGGCTGGGTAGGCAGGGCTGTGGGTGCTCGGGGCTGCTCGGACCCTGTGGAGACCCCCTGGGTCTCCCACCAAGGATGGGACAACACTGGGCTCTGTCGTGTTTGACACCTAGAGCTGGCACCACCCGCTCCAGCCCTAAACTCTGAGCCTGGGATGACCTCAGGCTCCCTCACACCCCACCTGCGCCTCCATTTCCAGCCTCTCCTCCGTCCAGTCCAGCCAGAAAAAAAAATTGTAACCAGGTTGGATCTGGCCATATTTGTCCTCTGTGTAAAGCCCTCGCTGATGATCCTTGTCTTCGGGGCTGAGCCCCTCCTGGCCACCCGTCACTCTGCTCCAGCTCTTCTAGACCCTTCCTTGAGTCTCCTGGCTTGGCCCTTGCTTGTTGTCAATCAGCATTACTGTCACCACCTCCAGGAAGCCTCCCTGGCCCCCTGGGCTGAGTTTGGTGCCCGCCTTTAGCATCCCACGAAGACCTGGGCTGCTCTCTCTCTTAGCATGGCGCCTGTGGGTCCCGGGCCCCCCCGCCCCAATTCGAGACCTCTCGGAGAGCAGGGGCCGCATCTGTCCTCATGACGGCCCTTTGAGGATCTGTGAAAGTGGAGGCCCGCTGCCGCCCCAGCCCGCCCTCCTGTGTGGGACACCTGCTGTTGGCCCCCCTGTGGGAAGGCCTGCACCCACCTCATGCAGCGCTCCTTCTCCTTGGCCTTCGCAGCCTGCTCGATCTTGGACGGGGGCATGCGCTCCAGGCCCTCCAGTAGCTCGTCCAGCTGGTGTTCGATGACAGTCAGCATCTGCACTGTGCCCAAGTTGGCCTCCTGCTGGGGGCCGATGCAGTGCCGGTACACGTCCAGCACCTTGCTGTTTAGGCTCTCCAGCAGCCTGTCCTGCAGGAGAGAGGCAGGCCTTCAGTGGCCCGGCTACTCCACAGCTGCCTGAGGTTCCGGGGGAGGGAGGGGGGCAGTGAGCATGCTCCAGGTGCTGCCTGGCACAGAATGCGGAGTCCAGGCTTGGAAACGCCCTTGCCCTCCTGTGGTCAGCCAGATGCTGGGTTCCTGATCCGGCAGGGGCTGACTCCTGCTCCTTGGCATCTGCCAGCTGCCTCAGCTTGCCTACCACTGCCCAGCTCCTCCTCCGGGGAGCCCTCCAAACTCCTCCACCCCAAGACTATTTCCTGTTGCTTGCCTTCTGTGTGGCCTTGGGCAAATGACCTTCCCGCTCTGAGGCTGTCAGACGCTTCGGAGACGGTTAATACCGCCTGCCTCCCAGATTGGGTGGGATGAAGAGAGTGGTAGCAGCAAGAAGGCCCTGCAGAGGGCTTGGTGTGCAGTGAGCGGCCCTGAGTCTCCGAGGCAAGGCCATGCTATCTTGCTCATGGCCACACCCTGGGTCCTGGCCCAGTGCCTGGCACACCGTGTGTGAATGGATAAGGAAGCCAGGTCCATGCGGGCGAGGCCCTGGGTGTGTGGTCAGGGAGGGCACCAGCTGAGCCTGGAGCATCACTGGGCTGCTGCCACCTCAGGATTTTCTTGCCCTCCCAGCCAGGCTTGGGGACATGCCTCTTCCTCCCCACAAGGTCACCTTGCTGGACATGTATGTGTTTAAGAAACAGACATAGTTGTTGCATGAGAGACCAAAGGCCGAGTGATGTGTGGCTCTCACTGGGCCAGCTGGGGTGGCTTCCAGGATGCAGCTCCCAGCCTGCCCAAGGGAGGGCTGCAGGCAGCCCTGTAGCAGCACCCAGTCTCACTTCTTAGCGGCAAAATTCACTCACCTCATAGGCTGTCAGAGCTGAGGGGTCCTCTCCCTCCCTGGGCCTGCAGCCACCCCAGATCCCAGGGTAACATCTCTTCCTGCCCTCCCCTGACGCTGTGCCCACTGCCTGCTGGCCCACCTGCTGAGCGCCATGGTACTCTCCAAAGTGGAAGACTCGGGATTTGAGCTCCAGCTCGGCGGCTGTCTCCTCTTCCTTGGCGATGGACATCATCATCGTGCTGATCCAGTGCTTCAGCTGGTTGACCTCCCGGTCCCTGGGTGAGAGGAGGACCGGCAGGGCTGGCTCACTCAGCCAGACCCGGCCCCTTCCCCTCCCTGAGCCCCTAAGGACCTAGCCCCAGCCACTGTCCTGGGGGTTAATCCAGGTTATGTGTGTTTGCACAGGGCCTAGCATGCAGTAGGGTGCTAAAATCATTCACATAGCGCAACATTCTCTCTTCTAAAGTATACATACAATTCAGTGGTTTTTAATATATTTGCAAAGTTGTCGAACCATCACCGTAATCTAATTTTAGAACATTTTCATCACCCCAAAAGAAAACCCCGTACCCATTAGCAGTCACTCTCTGTTTCCTCTCCTTCAGCCCCTGGCAGTGACTGTGATCTACTTTCTGTCTATGAATTTGCCTGTTCAGGGCATTTCATATAAATGGAATCCTACAATATGTCATCTTTTGTGTCTGGCTTCTTTCATTGAGCATTGAGGTTCATCCGTGTTATGGCATGCTCGGAACTGCATTCTCTTTTATGGCTGAATAATATTGTATGGGTATACTACAGTTTGTTTATCCATCAGACATTTGGGTTGTCTCCATTTTGTGGCTATAAGAATACTGCTGTGAACATTCATGTAGAAGTTTTAGTGTGGACATAGGTTTTCTGTTCTCTTGGGTGCCCATTTAGGAGTAGAATTGTAACCATCAACTTTTAAGTTAAATAATAATAAAATTAAAAAAAATTTATCCGTCATTATGGCACAGACATTGACCATCATATGTCGGGGTTTCTAGAGTGGGAATCCCAGCACTTGCAGTAGCTGGCAAGGGTCCAACCAGTGTGTGCCAGCTGCAGGCATGTCCTGGTCACAGTGATGGCAGTGACAGCCAGTGCTCAGCCAGCAGTGCCTGGGAGCCTCAGAGGTGCCCTCCTTCCCCTGTAACGTCCATCAGCTCCCCCTTGTTGATGTAATCTCCTGACACTGTTTCATCTTACGTAGGGCACCAACAGCTGTGGCTCCTTTTGCCCATGGGTCCTCCGGGTCTGTTGGCCACAGGGGTGCAGACCACAGCCCCCCAGCAGTCCTCAGGCTGCACCCCCCTGGCTACAGGGGCCAAGGGTAGAGCTGACTCTGGGCTGGGCTTCTGGGGTGGCAGGGCAAAGGCCAGGAGCCCGTAAGTAGTCCAAACCCAAAGTCCACAACATGTGCTGGTGGGGGCCCACTGGGGAAACGGGTGATGAACACCTACTGGGTTCCTGGCCCCAGGTGCTCAGCCGCAGGAGGTGAGTGTGCTTGGCTCTGGGGTGTTAGTCATAAACGATACACAATCACATTCTGTTTTTTACTTCCATTGTCACACTGGTAAGTCAGCTGTCATAGCTGTGACTGTGCTTGAGCTCTGCCTTCTGTCTTTTGGTACATGGACTGTGCTTTGCGCCATTCTTGGAGTGACTTGGGGAAATATATTTTTTTAGTTATCTTTAAAAATTCTTGGGTCAGAACCTTTTCTCCCCGAATTAGCTCCAACTGCCAATTTACAAGAACTACAAAGGAATGACAACACCGCAAAATGTTCCTCCAAGGCTGGCCCATGGGTGTCAGAAATGCAGAGTCTCAGGCCCACCCCAGACCTGCCACATCAGACACTTCATTTTAACAAGACCCCGGGTGCCAAATGCACATTCAGGGTGAGAAGCACTTCACTACAGGAAAAGTGACCTGGTTTCTTCAACAAACTGCACGGGAGAGAAGGATGGAGAGGAAATTTACAGATTAAAAGAGATTTAAGACGCATGCCAATTGTAAAGTGTGGATCTTGTTTGGATTCTAATTCAAACTGACAATTTTAAAAACTCCAACTCTTTATGGCATTTATGAGACTTTAGAAAAATTGAAAATGGATATTTGATGATACTAAAATTTTTTTTTTTTTAGGTATGATGATGGTGTGATTGTGGTTATATGAAAGAGTTTTATCTTGAGAGGTGCCCACTGGAATATTTATAGATGAAATACATACTGTCTGGAATTTGCTTCAAGTTAATATGGGAGATGTGGAAGTGGGTGGGGTCCATAGGGACCAACTGGCTATGAGGGATCACTGGTGAAGCTGGGGGATGGGAACCTGCGGCTCATACTATTCTACTTTTGTATACGTTTATGTGTTTGAAATTCTCTTAGTGTTATTGGACTAAATTGGAAAAGAAATTATAAAAAGTTTAAAAAAAAAATCCCTTCATAAATGCCTGGGGACACCAAACCAGAAAATTTACTAAATTGGTATTAAAAAGAAACACCACCAAACCTTAATAAAGGTCATTCACAAGATCAAGCAAAACAGATTCACCATATTTCTGTAAGCGCATCAGCGACAGCTCCACCATCAGCATACAGGACTCCACCCCGAGCGCCAGGCCCTGCCGCTCCTCCCTGGAATCTAGGATTGGCAAGGAACCGGGCAAGGCACATAGTTCTTGTTTCCTTTATAGGCACACCGGTGTTTTGTTTTCTTGTTTGCTTTGGTGGTTGTGGGTATGCTTGTTCTGATTTCTCCAGTTCCACTGGGGTGTGTCTAGCTGTGGTTCCCTCCCTCAGCAGGGCCTGGGCCATGAGCTGCAGTGCCTTTTCTGATCAGGAAAGTTCACCGCCACGGTGCCGCTGGCTTTTGCTTCTCCTCCATTTGGTCTGTCTTCATCTCCTTGATCCCTATGGTGTCACTCACCCTGTCCTCCTTGTGGTCCTTTCTCCTTGTTTTCCTCTCACCCTTTTCCTCTGAGTTCTGGGAGGTTCCCCCAGTGCCTGGCTGCCTGCTGTTTCCTGTCTTCCTCATGGTCTTACCTGTGTTCTTCCTGCTCCAGAGGGGTCTCTCATGTGACATGAATGCAGTGCGTTTCAGGAAGAGGAATTGGACATTTTCTCCCAATTCTTGCAGTATCTACATTTGCTTTGACTTCTCGAACTCGTCCCCTTGTTGAATGTATTTTCTCGTGTCCTTGGTGAGACTTTGTTTGCTTGTCCTTAAGAGCTGGAAGTCAACATGAGTTTTGCCATTTTCATCAGGTTTTGGGCGAAGGCTGGACTGGGGCTGATGTGCAGGATGGTTCATCCGAGCTATGGAGTTTCATTTCCACGTGCGTGGTGGCTGCCCACGACTCACCATCCCAGTGCCCTGTCCTCTGCTGGGGTTGGGGTGCCAGGAGCTGGCTGAGGTACCTCATCTGCAGCTAGTAGCCCTGCCTGCCAGAGCCCTCCAGCCCTGTTGCTTGTAGTAATGGGGAGTCTGGGATCCTGCTGGGCTCTGACCGGCTCGTTTTCTGACTTACTGGCTGGGCCGGCCGTCCCTGGAGAAGCCAGCAGCTCTGCACAGTGTCTAGGAAGGGATTCAGGCTTGGTTTCTCTCTTCTGTTCCCTTGGCCGCCATGGTGGGAACGTGGGAAGGGCTGGGTGCCCAGTCAGGTTTGCGTCTCCCCGAACACCTCTGGTCACCTTCCTCTCATTGGTTCATGAGATCATATACCCCCCGCCTCCTTCCACATGCACTCTAGCTGCCAGGAAGCACAGTACTAACTTTCTGTGTTCAAGCTCTGTCACTTCCCGCAGCTATGCTCTGGAACACTTGTGTTCTCTCCATGTCCCAGGCTCCATCTTCCTGGATCTGGGCTCTCCCTGGCCCCTGCTGGAAGGGGCTGGGGTGTGAGCATCTCAATTCACTGTCAGCAAGGTGCGCAGAGAACAGGGCTGGCACTAGGGAAGGCAAGGTTGTTGCCAGGGGCACATACTTCAAGGGAGCCTCACTCGGGCATGCATGTACCTCCTTAAACTTGTGCCCTAGGCACTCTGTTGCTCACCCTAGTCCTGGCCCTGCAGAGAGTAAATGATGTTCTGTCCTCTTGTCTGAGGAGGTGGCAGAGATGACTTGGCCTAAAACTCAGGCTTTTAAAGTCAATGTGCAAAGTCAAGTGACAAAGTCAGCCATAAAAAGTTGTAATTTGCCACTATTTTGTTATTGATGTATAATTTACAAATCATAAAACACCCATTTTATGTCTACAGTTTGATGAATTTGACAAATTTATACACCTGTGTAAGCACCAACACTATCAAGACACGGAACATTTCCATCACCCCCAGAGTTTCCCATGCCCTGTGCAGTCATTCCCTCCCCATCCCAGCCACAGGCTACCAAGGAGCTGATGTCTCTCACTCTCAGACGGATTAGCTTTGCCTGTGTGGTAAGCAGCCCTCTAAGAGGCCCCCATCAATCCCTGCCTTGTGCTCACACCCTCAAGTATAGGCTGAGCCCAGTGACTTGCTTCTAACCAATGGAATATAGGATGGGATGTCACTTGTGGGATTAGGTTACAAAAGATGGTGACCTCCATCTTGCCAGCACTTCCAAGCTGCCATTTGGAGAGTCCACAGGGCAGGAGACTGAGGGTGGCCTCTGGCCAACAGCCAGTGAGGAACTCAGGTCTCAGTCCACTGACCCTTGAGGCACTGGATCCTGCCAGCAACCACGTGGCAGCAGTTCCTCTCCCAGTGGATGCTTGAGAGAACTGCAGCCCAGCCAACCTCGATGGCAACTGTGAGAGTCCTGAAGCAGAGGACTCGCTGAGCTGTGCCTGGATTCCGTACCCGTAGAAATCGTGAAGTAATAAGTGGGTATTAAGTTGCTTAAATTTTGGAGTAATTTGTTACGCAGGAATACTACAGCTGGTTCTAGAGCTTGTTTCCCTCAGCACGTCTGTGAGGTTTATCCATGTTGCTGCCTGTGTTAAGCTTGTTCTTTTTTATTGCTGAGTATTATTCCAACGTTTCATTACCACTGGCATAAGCAGTATGCCAACCACTTTTTATGCCTATGGACCTCAGAGGTAAAACGTTACTCCAGTTCTAACACATGTAGCATCAAGGTGAGTCCATTTTGAAATACGTGAAACTCAGCAGACCAGAGTTGGAGCCTTGTTGTGTCCGTTGAGCATTCTATTAGGTGATGCTTCCTGGCTGTGTTCTGTAAATTTTTGCCTTTTTTTCCCCTTTATTTCTGTGAGACATAAGGCTTGCAAGCATAATTATGGCATTCCTGAGTGCTGTGGAGCCCTGGTGGGTTTGTTTTGGTTTTTCTGTGTCATATTTGGAAAACCAGAGGTTCCCCATGTAACCTAATAGAAAGGTGCCCGCAATAAATTAGTTTTCTGGCTCTCATTGGTATAGGGGTCAGGTATACTGTCACACCACAGAGTGCCACTTGCCTCTTTGGTGGCTTGTATTACCAGATCATATTTCTCAAAATTCGTATTACCAACCAAAAATTTAAACACACTCAATTAGTAAGCATGCATCCCAACACTGAAAACACATGCCATCAAAACAATTGAGAAAAAATGTGGTAACAAAGGGTAAAGACCTCCCAAAGATGTCCACATCCTAATCTCTGGCACTTGTGAATATGTTACTTGAAAGGAGGAATTAAAGTTGCTAATTATCTGACCTTGAGATGGGGAGAGGATCTTGGATTATCCAGGTGGGCCCAATCTAATCACCAAGTTTCTTACAAGTGGAAGGGGGAGGAGGCAGGAGAGTCAGAAGGAGATGTGAGGAAGACGTAACATGCCATGGCTGGTTTGAACACAGAAGGGCCCACAAGCCAAGGAATGTGGCAGCCTCTAGAAGCTGGAGAAGCAAGGAAATGAATTCTCCCCCAGTGCCTCCAGAAAAGAACCCAGCCCTTCTGAACTTTAGAACTGTCAGATAATAAGTTTATGTTGTTTAAATCTTCTCAACTATGGTAATTTGTTATAGCAGCCCCAGGGAATTAATGCACATGGTACAGAAGTACTGCAGTTTGTTTATGCTTCCTGGATGTATTAGTTTTGTACCTTCGGATAGACGTCTGGGTTGTTTCTGTTCTTGGCAATTATGACTGACTCTGCTGTAAACATTCTTGTGGGTTTTTTTTGTTTTTTGTTTTTTGGTACCCTGTCTCTAACACAACCACACTTTCTTGCTTCCAGTGTTGGAAAAGATTGCTCCGTCTCTGTGGTCTATATTTTAAAAATTGTATTTTGTGTTTTGCTGCAAAAGGGTGGTTGAGTTCATGGAAGTGCACCCAGGTTGGGACTCCCTGGAAATAAAGTGCACTCAGGGACGGCTCACCATCAGAGTGGCTGCTCCCACTGAAGACCGGTTCTGGGGTGGCACCTGCAGGTTCTGCTCTGGTGTGGGCGTGTGCATGTGTATGTGCGAATGTACGTGAGTGTGCATGTACATGGGTGTACATGAGTACATGTGTGCATACGTGTGTGTGTGTTGGGGATGGACTGCGCTCTCGCCAGGTTCTCCGGGACACCAGGAGGCTGCTTGCCTCTCCCTGGCTCACCTGTCTTTGTCTTTGCCACCTCCCAGCTTTCCAGGGAACAAAATCTTGCCTAAGAACTGGTGGTTTCACATCATTCTGGAGACTTCCACTCACTGAGTAGCAGAGGACACGGGTACTTAAGAGTGTGGCTCACCCATGGGACACTGAGGCCATCAGGCAGTCCCCACCTCAGGGCCTTTGCACTGTCTGTTCCCTCTGCCTAGAATGCTCTTCCCCCAGGCCTGCATGTGGCTGGCTTCCTTCCCTGTCCCTTGGTGAGTTGTTGGGCTGCCCCTCCTGTCTGCTGTCACCCGCCACCTCAGATCCTCCTTCTTGGTCACTCGATTTTCTTCCTGGCGTGTATCAGTACCTAGATGTCTATTGTCTAGTCTGTTGTCTGTGCCCTTTTAGAAGGTCGGCTCCAGAAGGGCGAGGCCTTGCTCTATACTTGCAGGGCCTAGGACCGGGCCTGGCCCAGGCTCAGTGAGTGTTGTCCCGGGAATGCATGACTTCCTGCTCCCTCCTATCAGGCCTCACCCGGTGCCCTGCCTAGCTGTCCTGGGTCCAGGTGGCAGGTACCTGCAGAGCTCCTGCCTCCACCAGCAGCTGATGGCCACACCCAGCAGGACGGACAAAGCACCCCAGGCTCCAAGGGAGAGCTGGGCAGCAGTCTGCCATCGCCCACCCCCCTTTGCCCTGACTCCCTGGGACTGGAATTTCCCAAGGATCTCACCAGAGCCCTGGCTGCTTTGCCAGGCTGGACACACACGTATGCCTCCCCTCCTCCAGGAGTGCCTTTCTGGCTCAGGCCGCAGAGCTCCTGGCCTGCTCCCTGGGCCCAAGGTCTGTAGCCTTGGCCCCCAGTGCTCGTGAGCTGGCCAGATAGCCCCACCTGGCCCAGGCCCAGCCCACATGGGTCCCAGATGCCTACCTGACAACACTGTCTTTCCATGCCTTGCTCACTCACAGACCTGCTCCTACCCTGTTTGTGCTGCCCCATCCACTGAGCCATGGCTGAGGGCAGAGCAAGTACAGCTGCACCTAATGGCACAGGTCTGGAGGCTTTGTCCCTTCCCCATTCTGTGATAGAACACCTGTATATGCAAATGCAATTTCCAGCATCTTCCGCCCAGTTTCTTGCTCAACGCTCTTGAGTGAGGCCTTGAGCACCTCCAGGGAGCCGGGCTTCCAGGCTTGCTGTGCACCTTCGTCCCTCCTCAGGGCTCATTGGCCCTCGTCAGGGTGTCAGGGGCCCAGCAGAAGGAGCCTGAGGTGAGGGAACACTTGGGCGTGCCTCCTCGGTCTGGTCACCTGCCTCTCCGGGGGGGACAGGACCGGCCTGGGAGGGTCCCCTATGCCCTAGAACAGAGTACCATCCCATCGACGCAGGACCTACATGCGGTTCTGGGTGTTCTTCAGGTTGAAGCTCAGCTCCTCTAGAGTCTCCTCCATCTCCTGCGTGTTCTGGATCAGTGAGAGGTTCTGCTCCTCCAGCTTGGTGAAGACCTCCAGGAGCTGCTGGGGCTCGGTGAAGTACAACTCCAGCTCCTGCGACCCAGATGAGCTTGGGTGCCAGCCCGGCCCGCCCCGGCCCGCCCCCACCCCCGCCGGCCCACTGACCTCACTGTCGCTGTCCGGGTCCTCCTGCGCCAGGAGGAAGCTCGACCTGCAGAGAAGAGTGGCTCAGCCTGGCCAGTCGGAGGCCGCGAGGGGCCAGGCCCCGGGAGCGGGGCGGGGGTCATCCTGCTGAGGGGTGGCGTCGGCAGCTGAGCCACGGCCAGGGGCGCAGGACAGCCCTCGCCCCGCCCCCGGCCGCAAGCTGCCCCCTCGAGTCCCTACCTGTCTCGCAGTGGCGGGCGGGGGCGGAGAGGGGAGGACTTTCACCTTCTAGTCAGCACAGCCCCCCACCCCGTCCCCGCTTCCAGAACGGCTTCTTGCCGCATTGGGTAAAGCGCCTCTGCCTCTCCAGTTCCCGCGCTGCGGCTCCGTGGGTGAGGCTGCCTGCCCGCGCCCCCATCCATCCGCGGCAGCTGGTCCTTGGTGGACGGCGAGGGCGGTGGTTGTGGGGCGTCCGCGTCCAGAGCTAGCCCAATGAGGGACCCGGGGTGTGAGGCGGAGGCGACCAGAGGGCGGCTGGATGAGGACCCACCTGGGCCTGATGACGCCTCTCGCCGCCTGCCCAGCCTGGGTCTCTGCCCAGGAATGCGGCGTCCTGCGGCTAAGGCCGCGCCCCGGGGACGAGGCCCTAGCTCCCTCGCACACAGGCACCCAACGGCTGCGCCTGATTCCCAGTGTGGCTCCTGACCCCCGTCCCTGCAAGGAAGACCTTCGGCCTGGGGCTGCATGAGCTCCGGGAACTTGGAGTGGGCATTCCTCAGGGCAGGCCTGAGAGTCGGACCTGACCCATCTATGGGTTACAAGACTGACCTGCAGACAGATAATCCCACCGCGGTGGCAAGCGCAAGGCCCTGTGGAAGACCCGAGGGGAATGCAGAAGCTCCCAGAGGAGAGGCCGGCACAATTAGACCCTCAGCAAGCACTGCCGTGGGCCTCAGGCACACCTGCATTTATGGCCACTTTACAAACGAGGAAATGGTGGTTCTGAGGGGCGGGCCACTCGCTATGGTCACCAACAGGGCACCAGGAGCCCATAAGATGCTTTTCAGAAAATCTGTCAGGTGGAGGGGCCAGGATTCACACCTCTGCTGTCAGCCACTCCCCAACATGAGGACTCCTTGGTGAGAGGAACCTAAGCATTTGCCTATCTCACCTTGAAGGGCCTCTGATGTCCCTCCCCGTAAGGAGTGTGCTTGGCCCAGCCCTAACGCTGCCAGTGGTGGTTGCCTTCTGGTTAAGGATTAAAGCTTGGAGGGATGAGGGCCAGTTTGAAAACTGGTGACAGTTGGGTTCTCATGCAGCCTTAGAAGCAGCCACTGGGGACATGGGAGGCTGATGGTGGACATCTAAAGGGGATGCTTATTTGGGTGTACAGCTCGGGGACAGGTGGTGACAAACCCAGAGGAGTGGGTCTCCAGGTGGTCATACAGAAGGGTGGGCAGAGGATGGGACACACAAGGGATGAGCAGAAGACACTGAGCTTGCAACAGGGAGAGGATGAGGGAGCGCAGCCAGGATCCCCACCCGTGTCCCAAGCCACTATGGCTGCCTCATCAAGCCACCGCCACCTCCATCTGGATTATTGCGGCAGCCTCCTTGGGGGGTCCCCAATTCCACCCTCACCCTGCAGTCTGATCTCCATCCTGGTCAAATTTCAGTCACCTCCCCCTTACCCAGGACCTCACTCAGGACAGTCACAGACCTAGTTGTAAAAGGTAAGTGATAAAGCTTCCCGAAAAAGACATAGGAGAGTATCTTAGTGATTTCAGGGTTGGCAAAGATTTCTTAAAACACACCAACCAAAAGAGAAAAGATTGGTAAATGGGCTTCATTAAAGTAAGAATTTCTGTTCCTAAAAAGACAATATTAAGAAAGTAATAAGGCAAGATACAGCCTGGGAGACGCTATCTGTAGTACACTTACCACATAAAGGGCCGAATACACGGGCAGAATATATGAAGAACTACTAGAAAACCATAAGAAAAAGGCCAGTGATTCAATACAAACATACAAAAACCAAACAGGCACTTCACAAAGGGAGATGCCTGAATAGCCAAAAACATATGAAAAAGTGTTCATATTTGTCACCAGGAAAGCAATGAACCATAATGAGATCTTGCTTCATCCCCATCAGAATGGCCAAACTGGTCATCAAACCTGGAAATGATTCTGCTCAGCCAATAGACAGATCCAGCCTTGAGTCTTCAACCCCCATGCCCTGGGGCCATGGGTAGGCACTGCCAGGGCTCTCCTGGTCCTGCCAGCTGCCTGCCAGGGCACCTTACCCCAGAGGGTCCAGACTCCACAGGGCAGGCGAGTGCTCTGGCAGCAGCCCCAGCCCTCTGAGGCTATGGCCAGAGCTCAGGACCAGCAATCCTGCAGGGCCCTCATTGTAGGCACGGAGGTTGACCATCACCCCTGCCAGCACCTCGAGGTCAGGGAGCTGGATAGGCCATCACTATGGAAAGCCCCAAAGAGAAGGCAGAGGAAGCCTAGGAGCAAGAAGCAAGAATTCTTTACAACTCCAGAGAGGGGACAGCCTTTCTAACCACAATTTAAAACCAAGCGCCACAGAGCAAGCCTGGCAAACCCACCTACATTCAGAACAAAAGAAAACAAACCTGCATGGCAAAAATCACCCTAAGCAAACTCAAGAGACCCATGACCAACAGTGACAAATATCTTCAACTCATATCCAAGAGCTGGCCTTACTAACAGATAAAGCTTTCCCAAACATTGAGCTAAAGAAGACCAATATCCCAGGGGAAATGTAGGCAGAAGATACCAATAGACAGTTCCCAGACAAACACCCGTAAGTGGCTCATAAAAAAACCCAGTTGCTGTTGAGTCAGTTCCAACTCATGGTGACCCCATGTGTGTTGGAGTAGAACTGTGTGCCACAGGGTTTTCAACTGCTGATTTTTCAGAAGTAGATTGCCAGGCCTTTCTTTCAAGTTGCCTATGGGTGGATTCGAACCTCCAAGCTTTCAGTTAGTGGCTGAGTGCATAAACCGTTTGTACCACTGGGGATGCCAAATGCCTCATAAAAAACCAAAAAAATCAAACCCATTGCTGTCGAGTCGATTTCGACTCACAGTGACCCTATAAGACAGAGTAGAACAGCCCCATAGGGTTTCCAAGGAGCGGCTGGTGGATTCAAACTGCTGACCTTTTGATTAGCAGCCGAACACTTAACCACTGTGCCACCAGGGCTCCAAATGGCACATACATGTATAAAAAGAGGCCAGTCTCACTTATACCAGGGGATTGTCAGATATGTTTCTCAGCCTTGGTGAAGCACCTTCCTCGGGAGGCTATGGGGTACCTGGTTCAGCAAGAGGAGGAGGATCAGCCACAGCTGGCCAGGCTATAGGTGAACCCCCTGACCCAGGTGCACACTCCTTTGGCAATGTCTGCTGCAGCTCCCCCCTGCACACCCACCATGACGCATGCATGCAAATAGCACAGCAAAGAATGACTCAAGTGCCCACCTACAGAGGACGTAAGTCTACAGGGACGTACTTGGTGGGGCCACGGTGCAGGAGGCGAAGGGCACCCTGGACATGATGCCAAGGCAGCTCGTGGCCCCAGTGCTGAGAGAGAGGAAGGAGGTATGTGTGGTCAGCTTCCTTTTTGACAGGAAGGGGTCACAAGAATATAGCCTTTACTTCTCTTAGAGCGAATCGTAAGAACATCTAAGTATGTGACTATTTTTGACCTACAGAAACAGCAAATTCATTTGGTTCAACCTATGCTTGCATAAACATGGCTGGAAGGAAACACAAGGGGATCATCAAAGTCGTTGCGGGGCCCACCTGTGGCTTCCAGCAGCATGGGTGGGGGCTGGAAGGATAGGGGCAGAGGTGGGTTGAGGAGGACTGCTCAACTCACCTTTCTATACAGTTTTGTTTTTTAAACCATGTGAACGTATAACCTATTGCGAAGATTTACATTTAATTAGAAAAACAAAAAACTCGTCCGTGAATGGGGGAGTAACGGGGGCGTTGCCACAGCAAGGGGGTGAGTGAGAGGGTGGGCCTGGCCTTGCTGGACAAGTTCTTGTAAATGGGTGGAGAATGCAAACCAGCCCACAGATTAGTTTGGAGTTTCTGTTTGGCCCCCATTATATTTTTAAAAGACTTAAAAGAAACGGTTACATTTAATCTGGGTAATTTTACATCAGGTCCAGATTTTTGGCTTCTCTAGAAGGACTCTGAAGCTCTGGCCTCCTCCCAGTGTCTCCCCAGGCCCACAAGACTGGCCTGGTCACCTGCTGCCTAGTTCCTGTAGTATCTGCTTGGCCGGCCTCCCTCCGTCACTGGCCCATCACACTCAGTGTTGGGGGAGCCCCCTCTCTCCCTGGCTCCATTTGGTGGAACCAGACAGAAATGACCTGCCTGGTGGCAGCTCCCACCGCTTATAAGACGTCTTGGTTTCTGGGCTGGGAGCTCTGGGAGCTGGGCCGGCCCAGTGTCCCCAGCCTGGGGCCATGGTGGGCAGGACACTGACCCTGGCCTGCGGCTGTCACCGCCCACTCACCCTTTGGACTCCAGCCCGCTGGGCACACTGAGCTGGCTGCTCGCCTGGAGGCTGCTGCTGCTAGACAGGGTCGGCCCCAGCCGGGCCCCCTGGCGCAGCTTCGGAGCCTTCTTTGAGGCCTGCCCCTCTGGAGGAAGCAGAAGAATGGTTTCCAGGCGCCCCTATAGGGTCTTGGAGCACCCCTCCCACCTGGGGCCACCATGTACCTTTGGCCCATGGGGAGGCCATCTTATTCCTGCTTCCTGGTCCTACAGGAAGCAAAGAGAAATCCTAGTGGCCGCAGCTGGAGGAAGGCCTCAGGGACACTGTTCATGGACACAAAGCCTCCCTGTCTTTCCCCAGCCTCAGGAGGGAGGGACTCCAGAGGAAAGCCCGTCCTCACCAAGCCAGTGCCGGCCTGGGCTGAGCAGAGCTGGCGGGAGGGGCCTGCCCTGGGCCGGGGCTCCTCGGAGGCCCCTATCAGCTGGGCATGGGTCTCGGGGGACCACTAGTGGACCTGCCCCTGTGGACCTCCCTTCCCCTTCTGCTACCTTTGTCTCCTGTTGCAGAGGGCAGGCTGGTCTCCTTGGGGGTGTCAGCCATCTCCTTGGCCTTTTTGAGAGCCTGCTTCTTCTCCTGCTCCTCAAACCACTCCTTGGGTGACAGTTTGTATAGGAAATCCTTGTAGACTTTGTATTGCTGCAGAGTGTCTTCAAACTTGGAGATTTCGCTAGACCCGGGGAGGAGGGTGAGGCCAGGCTCATGCCTCAGCGAAGCCATACAAGGTGGTCCTGCCCTCCAATCCGGCGTAGCCTGGGGTTGCTCTTTGCTCTCTTGCCTCATGAAAAGGAGTGCTCGCCCCGGAGGGAATCAGAGTGGGGAGGTCTCCTGGGTTAACGTGGGGCTACTAGCTCATTGTGACATTCAGGTTGTAGTCTGCCCTAGGGGCTCTGCCTGTCCCTCTCTCTGGGTGTGGAGCAGTGGTGGCCTTTGACCAAGTCATCCCTGCCTCCCAGCAGCCAGTGCTGTGACCTCGGGAAAGCCACTGACTCTCTTTTTGTCTCCTCATCTGGAAAATGGGCAGTACCATCTCCTGGGGTTTTGAGACAATCCCTTTGGCTACCATGAGAAATGCTAGAGAGGGAAACTGAGGAAGGGCCAACCAAGGGCCCAGTTTGCCTTCTGAACTCCTGCTTGGTCTATGGCTCCTGGCCTCACCTTTTGATGTTCATGATCTGGGTGGTGAGGTCCTGGATCTCAAAGATCTTCTCTATCTTCGCTTTGGTCTCCTTCTCAGCCCTAGGGTGGGGTGGGTGCAGGGAGCCAGTGGCAGACTATCAAAGGGACAGGGTGGGTGGGGGACAGGGGCAGGAGGTGGCAGGGGCAGCTAGGCTGGGGCTGGGCAGGGGTTCGGGGGGGGGGGGCAGAGGACCAGGGCACGCAGGGGTCAGAGTCATACCCCCATGACCCCTGCGGCCTCCACCCCACAGGCTCACACTCTCAGGGCCTGCACTGAGCTGCGGTCATTCTCCCTGAGGAACTCATCAAACAGGGCCACATCCTTCTCCAGGGACTTCTCGGCCCGCTCCAGCTTGGCCTCCTCCCTGGCTGCCAGTGTCTCCAGCCGCTGGATCTCATTCCACTTCATCTCCAGGGCGTACTGAGGGCCACCAGAGTGGTCATGGTGCCACACCAGGCTGGCATGCCCACTGACGGTCCCTTGCTGGGCAGCTGGGCCTACCTGGATGAGGAACATCTGCCGCTTCTGGTCGATGTACTTGCTCATGCTATCCGACGCCACTCTCCTTTCTGCAATGAAATAAGGGAAGCATCTTGGGGGAGGGCTGGAAGCCCTGCAGTGAGGAGGGCACAGAGACTCCTGGTCTGGGGCTCTGCTGTGAGCCTGCTGCGATGCTAGGTTATGCCGGCTCCGTGGGAGATGGTGCTCTTGTACTGTCTCCAGCAGAAGAGAAAACACTGCATTCTCTATGGCTGGAGATTGTACCAGGTGAGAAGTCCTTCCTTAGGTCTGACTTGGCCCTCTCTTGCTGTAGCATCCTTCTTACTTAGAATGAGGCTCTTGGACACCCCACCCCGGAAATGTCACCCAGCTGGACTTAATAATATTGGCCAATACCTGAAGGGGGGGATCTTGACTTGGGGCACCCTAAGCTCTCAGAGACTGGTTTGGGCAGCAGCAAAGTCTACACTGCCAGTGTTTAAACGAAGCAAGAGAAATTTAAGGTGCACATCTGGACGAGCTTCCTGAGTGCTGGCAGAGAGACAGTAAAGCCAATGACCACAGCCACCGGGGCCTCTCCCTGGCCTTTCTGGAGGGGAAGGTCTCAGCTCCAGGACCTTGGAGAGACTGGGGTGTGGAAATGACCTCAAAACTGTGTGGCTCTCTGGCCTTGCCACTTGAGTCCTTTTCTTTCCAGAAGAAAAGCCCTGGCGTGCTGGAAAGAACCTCACTTTAAGAGGTCCTTGCCTCCCCGATAGCGCTGGAGAAGCCCCTGGCCTCAAAGAGACCCAGCTTCCTGCCTGTAGATGAAGGTTGAGGCACCGAGGCTTCTGCGGCCCAAATGCACTGGGGGCTCATCCTTTCTGGAGGTCCATACCTGGCTCCTTGTTGAACCTCATCCACTTCTCTGCTTGGGACCATTTCTGTATTTCCAGAAGAAGGCACAACTCCTTATCCAAACACCACCTGGCTGTCCCAGGTATTAGGAGTGGAAGGTGGACAACGGAACTTAAATGTCTGGTTAGTGGCCAAGCTTGGTACAAGAAACATCCGTGCAAACTCGGGGTTTCCTAACAAAATTAACAAGCCACCTGGCCTGTCAGAGGTAGAGACTGGGGCGTTCCTTTAACATTTTATACTTACACTTAGTACCACTGTAATCCTTCTATGTTCTGGAACTCTCTAGTCTCAATTACTTCTTTCTAGCTTTGCAATATTGTACTTTATTATCTGGGTTGGTAGGATATTAGTGTGTATTTAGTATGTAAGATTTCCTATGGGTACTACAACTACTAATAGCTCACACACGTGTAGTTCATTCTTACTATGTGGTGGGCACTATTCCAAGTATGTTAGCTGTATGAACACATTTAATCTCCATGATCCTATGAGGCTGGCAGAGGAGGAGACTGAGGTGCAGAGGGATTAAGTAAATTGCCCACCACTACACATAGGGGGTGCGGGGCTGTGATGTGAACCCAGAAAATCTAGTTCCAGAGCTGCTATGTGCAACCGCTGAGCCAAATCGCCTGTATTTGATACCTCGTACAGTCTGCATTCATTGTGTGTGGTCATTATTCAGAAAGCAAACAGTAATGGGATTCAAATGTCTTTCTCTACAAAAGCACATTAGCTTTGCCCTCCATCGGGACTTATATTTGTGATTGGTGTGAGGTAGGGGTCAGATCCTTTTTTCCGTGCAGATATCAAATCAGCCCGGCCCCATTTCTTTCAAAGCTCTTTAAAATACTTCCAGCACCTGCATGGCAAATAGTTTCAGCTTCTGTGAAAACAGGGCCTTCCCCTGCACCAGCACGTGCAAGCCTGGAGTCTTCTCAGAGTCCCCTGACGCTCGTGGCAGGGGCGGGAGTAGGTGAGGGTAAAGGGGGTGCTAACCTTTGGTGACAGCGAGCTTCCAGGCAACGTTGTCTCGGATGGTGCGCAGCTGCTCCGCCTCAGCGCGCACCTCACGTTCCTCTGCGTCATCCTCCAGCTGCAGCTCACGCCGCAGGCTTGTACACTTCGCCAGTGCTTTGGAAGAGTACGTCATCTTTTCGTGCACCCGCATGGTTTTCTTCTGCTCCCGCTCCTGGAGGTGGATCCGGCCACGTCAGGGAGTCTCTCCCCGCCCTGGCCCTGCGATCTAAGCCTCCATCCTTCTCCATCACGCCCACCCGAGGTTACGAGGTTACGGTTGGGGTGGATAGGGGCTGTGGTAGGAGGGGTGATTGTGTGTTGGAGGGAGGGGCTCTGGGGACACACAAGGAGTGGAATGAGTAGGATGGCAAGTGGAGAGACACAGGGCAACCAGGGGGCACCCAGAGGGACAGCTGCGGCCAGGTGGCTCCACTGGTCACCCAAGAACAGGGTCCAGGTAGAGCCGTCAGATAAAATGCAGGATGCCTAGTTAAACTTGACTGTCGGATAAATATTGCATGGGACATACTTATACTAAAAGATCATTCCCTGTTTATCTGAAATCCAAATTTAACTGGGTTCCTGTGTTTTGATTTGCTAAATCTGGCTACCTGCAGTTCAGATCTTCTGAGTTCCCAAAAGAAACTTGAAGTCCAGAGCTTGAGCTGACAGCCCCATCAGCCCTGCCCCCATCTGCCCCTCCTCCTCTGCTCTGGGTCCCCTTGCCCTCCAGTTGGGGCGGTGTTGGGGGGGGGTAGGCTCTCCTCCCCTCTGGTCCGGGTCCAGGGGCAGGTCTCTGACAGTAGCTTGTCCCATCCCTCCTGGTGGCCCAGCCCTCTGTGGCTGGGACACCCTGGCTGACTCCTGCACCTCTGGGGAGTGAGGGTCTGCAGAACTCTGCCTGGCCTGGGCTGTGAGCTGGGGGTGGGAGGTGGGGCTGCGGGTGGGTGGAGGACTCAGGAATCAAGGAGGGGAAGGCAGAGGAGGCCTGAGGCTGGGCGGGGCCTGGGAGAAGAGGAAAAGCCTGCAGTGGAGAGAAGAAAGGGAGGGTTTCCAAGGCTGAGGCCCAAGAGGTTTGTGTGTGTGCTTGCAGTCACTCCTCCTCCACCTCCACCGTGGGAGCTTCAGGGACATGGGGACCACAGCACCGCCAGCTGAGTGCTCCTTCCAGGTGAGCCTTTCACATGGCTGCATCAGCTTAGTGGGCAGAGAGTGTTTCTGAGTCAGTCCATCTGTGGCAAGCCATAATGTTTATTTCCAACAAGTTCCCAGCTAGTGCTGCTGCTGTTGGTTGGGGACGCCCTGAGAATCCAGCTTTAGGGAATGTCAGAGACGCTAAGCCCTGAGTTGGAGGAGACAGGCTGTGTGTCTGCTGGGGGGGCTGGGACCCTGATCGAATGTTGGGTGAGGTGCTACACGTGCTGTGGATGTCTATGTGGGTACCAGCAGTGTGCCCCTCTCAGTGAGCCTGGGGGAGGCTCCCAGCCAAAGCAAGGAGGCATAAGACTCCTTTGACCCCCCTGGCCTTTTCCTAAGGCCATGGAGATGCCTGGCTCTAGGAGGGCCTCTGTGGGCTGTCCTGGGTGCTACGGGGGGAGTGGGCCATCTTGACTTCTGGGCACACAGCTCTCAGGGATGAGAAAGCAGGAGAGACCATGCTGGGGTGCCAAGAGTGGCTCATGGGATAAGAGCTGGCCCTGGTGACTCCAGGCATGGCAATGGGCCTGTGTGTGTGCATGTGTGTACACATCTGTGTGCATATCTGGCCTCCAGGAACTCCAAGGAGAGGGGACTGAGCAAGGCTGAGCAGTCAGGGTGGCTCCTGGAGAAGGTGAGCAGCAGGGGCAGGGTCAGCACGGTCTGTGATGGCCTTGGAGGTCAGGGGTCATGGAAGAGGGGTGGTATCTTGTGCAGGGAGCAGCAGAGGAGGAAGCCTGGTGGCTGAGGTTGTTAACATGTGCAGCTCCAAGGAGACACCCTACAGAGGCACAGGAACAGTAGGGACTGGACTGGGTTAGATGGAGGCGACCAGGCCAGACATGTGAGAGACAGGAAGAGCTTTGAGTTGATTTCGGAGGAAATGGTGAGTCACTGGTTATTCTCGAGTGGGAAAGTGACCCAAGGAAAGTGCTGTTTTAAGAAGGGAAATTTGGCTCTGAGAGCAGGAAAAGTTGGGGGCAGGGAAGCTGTGATGAGGGAGTGGGTGACAGGCCCGGCCCCAGTGCTGGGTACTCACTGAGCGAGCCTTATTCCGCTCCTGGTCTCTAAGCAAGAAGAAATCCACGTCTCCAGACATGTGGAAAGGGTTAACTGGACGGTCAGGAACAACCACAGGCGCTGCGGAAGGAGACACCTCGGTTGGCTGGGGGATCTAGGTGCCCTCCCAGTCTGCACAAGTAGAGCTATAGTGGGTGCCAGGAAGCTTCTGTGAATGTCTTCTCCGAAGCACTCCTGGACTTCTCAGCTGCCTGGGCTGATAACTTACCTTTCTTGTTTAACCTTAATAGCTCGGGTTGGACTCTGTCACTGTCACCTGAAAGAGACCTCATGGACACAGCCACTTGTGTTTCTCAGCATCTGCTATGTCCCTGTGCTTGGTCAACACTGCCACCTCTCATAAAGTCTTGGGAAAACCTTCCCAAGGACTTCCGGCATTGTAAGTGACATTGCCAGCAGTGGTCCAGGCTGGCCTGACCCAGCGCTGAGGCCTCCCTGAGCCCTTGACTGTGAGTAGTGAGTTTGTCTTTTCGGGAGTCTTAGGAGTTTCCCAGGGCAGGGCCAGGCTCAGGGTTGGGGAGGGCAAAGTGCCAGAGCCTGGGGTGCAGGGCAGGAATTTGGGAGGTGGAGCTTCCAAAGATCCAAATTCTGCTGCCCCCAGGGGCTAGGGGAGAAGTTGGCACAGATGTGAGAAGCTCAGCAGTCTCTATGTGGATGCTAACTGTGTCAGAAAGGACAGAATCCAGGGGGCACCAAACCTACTCCCAATTCTTGGAGAAACTGAGGGCTTAAAAAACATGGTTGTGGGGCATCATGGTGTTATAGTCAGAAGCACCACGCCATCCCTTCGCAGCAAAGATCCAAAAAACTAAGTCAAACAGAATCATGCGTCAATCCTGAAACCCTAAGCATCAAATGAAGAGATAAAGAACTCAGCCAAGCACTGAATGAAGAAAGAAACTGACTGAGAACAGAGAGCGAGGAGAGATACATTCAGAGGTCCCTTATCAGCTACTGCAGCACGGATCTGCCATCCTGGACTCCCATCAGAGATCAGCGAACAGGGGGTATGAGAAAGCAGCTTCACGGAGCTTCCAGTAGGAGACAGAACAACCGGTAACCAGCGATATACGCTTTCCCACCCCCCACCCTTCTTCACCCCCACTTGGCCTCCTCTGCTTGCTGCAGCCACAATCTCTTGGCCAGGAAGCACCAGCTTCACCCCAGTGTCACTTGGATCCCACCCGCCTGCAATGGCCAGCTCCCTGAGTGCCATTTGTTGGCTGCTGGTGTTGCGTTTTTCCACTTGTTTAGATTTCTTCCTTACCTCTCACCACCTTCCCCTCCTTTCTTTCAAATACCTGGCTCCGTGCGCCATCTTTGCTTCTTCCTGAAAGCCTGCGAAACACTGCTTGACTGTGAAACTGCTTCCCGGCCCTTGCCACCATGCTGGTGAGACCGCTGGGGCTTTTTGTTTGTTTGTTTGCTTTGATTTGTTCTGTTTTGTTTGTTTGTTTGTTTTCTTTTTCTTTTCTTGGCTTAGGAGCCCCATCTAGCCAGGCAGTACCATGTGGCTTGGAAGGCTACTCCCTTACTCTGTGCAGACGTACAGAGACATCACTGGGGGCATTTCTTTTTCTTGTTTCTTTGTTTTGTTTTCTTCTCTCTCTTATTCTCTTTTTGTCTTTCTTCATTTCCAGTTGCTCGATTTATACATTTTTTCTTTTACCCTTTTTCTTTTTTGTTTTTCCCCATTTCTCAGTCTCTCATCTCTCCATTCCAATAGAAAGCTCCCTTAGCACTCTTTTTCTTTGTGTGTATGTTTTTGGCCCCTGTACCTCTCTCCTCTCTCTCATCTTTCCCATACCCATCTTAGCTCCACACATCACAATCTCCCCCTTCCTTCCTGCCTACCTGCACTGTGCACTGAGCATCACAGCCCCAAGCAGCACAGGCACGGCCTACTGGAATCTGCCCTGCACTGATTCCTGGTCCGCACTGTCATCCCTAGTACGTGCCACAAACAACCCATCCCAGCAACTCCCCTCCAGCTGGACCTGCCCTGCTGTACCATACCTGAGTGACTGACCCTGCCCATTGGAGAAGGAGGTGAAAAGTCTTTGTGCCCACAGATGAGCAAACAACAAAGAATGCACAGCCCACTTGCTCAGACATAACCAAATAAAACAAAAAAGCAGGATGAAACAAACAAATTTACACTCAACAAATGAGGAAAATAACTGCTGAATGCCCAGAATACAGCAGACAATATCAAAACATATACAAAAACAAGACAGGATGGTTCCAGTAGGCATCCAAAATAAAATACCAGATGACTTTGCAGTAGAAGAAAAGGCACTAGAACTAACTGATAGGAAATTCAAATCTCTAATATTCAGAATTATCCAAGAGTTGAAGAAAAAGCATCAAAAACAAGGAAAAAAATAGACAAATTCATGGAAAAGGCAGACAAATTCATTGAAAATACAGACAAAAAAACGGAAGATTCAAGAAAATAATACAGGAACAAAATGCCAAAATAAATTCACAACTAGAAATCATACAAAAACAACAATTAGAAATCCAAAAGATAAACAACAAGAT